TAGGTTCTCTGCTCTTAAGGCTCTAAGAAACATATTTCTACCTATTGCTACTACTGCCACTACTACCTTAAAGCTAAAGTCTACTGTTTGCTGCAAATACCAACGTTATCATAGCTAGTCTTGAAGAATACTTAAGTCCTCAAGTGTACAAAGTTCTCATTTTTTAAGTATCCCACATAACGCCCTCAACCCCATCCAAGTTCTCCAGGAAATAAAAGCAATAAAAACAACAGCCCTAGACTGGTCATTGAAGAAACGTTTGAACGAGCCTAGGTATCTGGCTGCAGAGTGAAGACTGTTGGAAATCTGGACAGTATTACTGCGGCTTCTACAGGAGTAGCGCTACATGTGATTTTTTTGTTTGGTTGAAGGCCAATTGAACTCTCGTGTACAACACTATGGATAGACTCTAGGTGCAGTATAGTGATGGCCTTACAGTTCATTCAGCTGGTAAAGCAGTACAATAGTCTGCCTCCTGCTGTCATGCTTCAGGCTAGGTTGACATATGTGCGGGTGGTGCCGCTGCGGATCCGCACAAAAATCTGTGCAACCGCACCACCCACACAGAAGAATGCGGACCCGCAGGTGGGTGCCATTAATTCTCATGGCATGCCGCCCACACTGGAAATGGCAACCGTACTGGAAACCGAGGTTCCTGTGCGAGCTCCGTTTTCAGAAATGCAGGGACTTCTTCCCTGCATGTCCTGGGGCACAGGAATCTATTCAAATGAATGGGCTCTCGTGCCTGCGCAAAACGCAGCCCGCAAGAACGTGGATATGTGAACCAGGGATCAGAGATGAATCGCTGCTCTCTGTATGGATCAGAGGCGGACTGACCATTTGGAAACTCGGGCACTGCCCGAGGGCCCGGGGTCAGTAGGGGACCCCATGAGATGCCCCTGGTACCTTTTTCATAGGCTTTTTTGAGTTTGGGCAAGGACACATGGGCCCTGTGATCCCCTATTGCCCGGGGGGCCCCATGATCAACAGATCATCTTCTGTACAACCAGCTAGTCCATACATTGATCAAACTTTGGCCAGTCACCGCTGAACCAGCTGAATTTCGATCCCCATGTATGGCCAGCTTAACATTGAAGATATGTGTTCTGCTTCGAGCAATGTTTGGATCCAATGTTTTCTGTTCATAATAGAAACAACTGCAGGTACTGTATGTGTCCTTTTAGACAGTACATAGTCAATACTATGCAATTGTTCTATTGTCTTCAAAGGGTTGCTTGCAAACACTGCTTGATTAAACAAAGATCATTTGTTTAAGAGACACAAGTCTGAATGTTGTATACCAGACAAATAGATACTTTGCTGTCCTTCCTATCTGTTATTATCGGTGATCTATTTATAAATAATGTAGAAAACTCCGGCCACACTTGTATTTAAACCGGAAATATTATATTTACTGATGTTTGAATCTGGTGTAAAATATTTCCCATGTAATTGCATTCATGGGCGTCTTTCCCTAGGAAGAACAGGACGTTAACCGAATGTTCACATATATGCGGTGCGGTATATCGCATGTGATTCGCACAGGAACCGCACTGCATTCCTGTGCAAATCACATGCGATTTGTGTGCGCTGCGATTGGATGCGATCTATTTGCAACACACCCGCACCAAAAATGTGCAGGACCCTTTTTTTGGTCTGCACTAGAATCAGAACGCATGGGTATTCACACCTATGCGACCCGATTCTGCACATCGCACCGCGTTTTGCAGACCACTTTCAAGGTGTTGTTAACTTTACTTACACATCCGCAGCGGTTCGCATGAACGGGGTGTGATTCTGCTGCGGTGCGGAATTCGCACTGAAAACACCGCATCAGTGTGAACCAGGGCTAAAATTTCTACAGTAAGAGGATGAGGTCTGTTAGAACTATTCAAATGAGGTGACAGCAGGATTGTACAGTCAAAAACAATACATGGACCCAAAGTAGGAACAGACAAAGATTATAGCTAATGCCAAAAGAGATTTATAGGATTATATTTGAAAAGCTGACTCATAATTAGATGACAAGGCACATGAAAAGGATCTATTTTAGTATCTGTTAGTGCAGAGCTTTCCAACCATTTTGCAGTTGTGGCACCCTAAAAAATTATACAAAATCTTGAGGCACCCCAGTCTAGAATGTAAACAACATAAATGTTATTAATCATTGGGAAACCTGAGCCTGGGACAATGAACACAACTACCTTGATGAAATTAACTTCACCCCGTCACACCAAAGACCCCCCATTACATCAAATGAGCTCCTCCACATATCAGATGTTCACCAAACATATCATAGGTTCACCCATCACATCAGAGGTTCCCCCATCACATCAGAGGTCCCCTATCACAGGTCCTCCCATCGCATCAGAGGTCCCTCTATCACATCAGAGGTCTTCCCATAACATTGGAGGTCCTCCCATCACAACAGAGGTTCCCCATGACATCAGAGGTGGCCCCATCACATCAGAGGTCCCACCATCACATCAGAGGTCTTCCCATCACATTGGAGGTCCTCCCATCACAACAGAGGTTCCCCATGACATCAGAGGTGGCCCCATCACATCAGAAGTCCCTCCATTACATCAGAGGTCTTCCCATCACATTGGAGGTCCTCCCATCACAACAGAGGTTCCCCATCACATCAGAGGTGGCCCCATCACATCAGAGGTCCCTATAACATAAGTGGTTCCCCCATCAAATCAGAGGTTCATCCATCACATCAGAGGTTCCCCCAGCACATCAGACGACTCTGATCACATCAGAGGTTCTCCCCCTCACATATGAGGTCTTCCCTTCATATCAGAGGTTCCTCCATCACATCAGAGGTTCCACCATCACATCAAAGGTTCACCCATCACATCAGAGGTCCCCCCATCATGTCAGAGGTTGACCCATCACATCATGGGTCCCCCACCACACCAAAGACCCCCCCTTCTCATCAGAGCCCCCCCCCCTTCACATCAGAGGTTCACCCACCATTGCTGAGCGCATACTGCCCTGAATATACAACGTAAGTACTGCTCAGTGCATAGTCCAGCCGCAGCAGTCAGTGAAATTCTGCAGGTGTAGGTTTTTTTTATATTACACCAAATAATATTCCCTTATTTTTATTATAGGTAGGCTTTACAATAGATTCTGGGTATATAATCTATCATTCAGGACATATGGATGGTAGGCAATGAACAGGAAAATTGGAAAAGGTGATTAAACTAGAGAAATTGAGGGGAGGAGGAATTTTTGTAGGGACCATTTGAGGAAATGCAATACCCATTGAGACAAACATTATTTGTTGTAGTATAACAAAGATGTTGAGCTCCTGGGGTGCTCTTGCGGTTCTTCAAATACATTTTCCCTGGGTTAGCCCCTGCTGGTTGAACAAAGCCAAAGGTTTTATTGATATGTAAGTTAGTTGTATGGATACATGATGAAAGCTAAAAAATGTTAGGGACCATATTTCAGAACTGAATTTATCCATCTTCTGAAGATGTGGATGTATGCACCATGAAACACTTTGAAACTACAAAAATCCTGCATGATATGAGTTGGTTGCAACAGACACATGAGAGATGAATAAATTTATATTTGATCAATTACAAAAATGTGTATAGTTGTTTGACCAACGATATACATTTAGTGTGAAAAATCTTGTTGGGGAGTATATTGGCCTGTACAATTGAAGTACCATAAAAAGTCCCTTGATTGCAATTTTTCTGGTTGTGTCCACTGATGGCCTTCAGGCTCAGCTTTTACTAGACCAGACTTGGGTTCCAACTCTGCCTTTAACTAAACTAGGCACATCCTCAGTGTACTACCAAGTCCAAGTTCCAGTCTATAGTGTCAGCACCCTGGCACTTATGCCTTTCCACCTCCCTTGCAGACCCTGTCTTGACTTCTAGAGGTGTTTGAATGGGACTGTCAAAGGACCACCCTCAGCGTCTCAGGCTCTGCATACAGGCACTGCCAGGGTCCAGAATTGAACTCGCAACATCTGCCGTGCCCGGCTATGACTCTTTATGCTGTGTCACCTGAGATGCTGGACCTTGCCTCGTCTGACCCCTTGGACAATCTTGCCTTGTCTCTGGTTTCTGGTGAACCTTGCACTCTTTGTTCCTCCCATGAACTTCCTGATTTAAGTCATGTCTCTGCTCTTCCTATTTGCCCGATTACTATGCTCTCCCCAGCCGATAACTTGTTCCTTTGCATACCTGCAACTGTCCTTATCTTTACTACTACCTGTTACTGACCTTTGATTCCAACCTGCAGCAATTCATTATTGACTTTTGGCTTGTTCCTCAACTATGCCTCAGCTTGATCCCAATCTGCACCCATTTGTTATTGACTCTTGACTTGCTCCTCAACTATGCTTCTGCTTGATTCAAACCTGAAACCATATGTTACTGACTTTTGGCATGTTCCTCAACTACGCTTCTGCTTGATCCCAACATGCAATTACTTGTTACCAACCTTTGGCTTGCTTACTGTTACTGACTGCGCTTCTGCTTGATCCCTACCTGCTATAATTGCTACTGGACCCTGGCTTGCTCACCTTCTGGTGGGGTGATCTTAAGGACTGCAACCTGGTACTAACATGCAGCAAAACCCACCTCTACCATTGAAAGCTCAATACCCATTAGAGCATAGACCCTGCTCCTTGGTTGAGTCCGCGTCATCCGCCAGGGTGACCGGCTTGTGTACTTATCCAGCTGGTCAGTGGGAGCCTCTCTACTGCTAGAGCTATTGGTTTCTGAGCCTGACTTCTGACCCTGAGAGGTCACCAGTCCTCCATGTTCCGTGTTTATTGCTGAAGCAGCTCCTGTAAACAGAATGATATCTGAAGCCCTTGAGAAGGAGCATTTGGAATCTCCCAAAACCAGTTGGTTACCACCTCTCACTAAAAACAAATCATCTATTTCCAACCACCTTATTAATTCATCTTTCTGCCCATTTTTCTTTACAATACATACTGTAAGAGGTTAGTCTTGGTCCCATCACAGCGCTCACCTGGCAATGTGCGGATGTGCGTCACTACACGCCATGTGCAGAGGGGTCCAGCCGTTTTCATCTCTTTGCTCAATGTCCGCTCCATATTTTACCAACAGCTTGACGCATTCCAGATTCCCAGAGAGGACGGCTTCGTGCAAAGCACCCATGCCTGGGAGACAAAATTTAGTGGTCACAGTTCATATTCTACTTTTTTAGGATACTTTAGGATTTCCCTATTTCTATTTTTTTCTTCTGGAGAATTTGTATCCAACGTAACCTATTGCAACAGAACTCCAGGACAGGGGCGGACTGGGTCAACACCGTGCTGAGTAACAGTCAGCTTCCTCAGAGCTGAAGAAGAGGCAAGTCCTCGAAATGCGTCAGCCTATTGGATGTCTACACTCCCTATTGTGGACTGTTACTCAGCGCGGTGTTGACCCAGCTGTTCTTTATGATGTGCCTTGACTATATTGTCATTTGTGAGTACAACACCTACTTTATTTTTTATTAAACATTTTTTATGGTAATGCACTAGGCCCGTGCGCCCTCTCTTTGTTCTTTCCTCATTGGCCTTCCATTGTACTTGATCATGCCAGAGTGCCAGCGACCCCGAGTGCCTAAGAAAAGAGGCTGAGTTGGGTACACTTAAAGCAAGGAGGAAACCTGCAGGAGCAAGGGATAAGGTAAGTATTTGGCCTTTTTACTGGTATCAAATGCATGAACAAACATTTAACTCTTGAAACATCACTCAATGTATTTTTTAAACGCAAGCAGTTTAAGCACCTGAAATTGACCTGATATCAGCGTCTTGCAGCTTCTGTATAGCAGGGCTGGTGAGTCAGAGGAAGAAGCAGCACAAGAAGCCAATTAATTCATGTGCCCGACAAGAAGCATGCTGATAGGAGTAGAGAGAGCTCCTCACGGTGCCGATTCTCTTTCATTGTCTGTTCACAGGCTGGGAACGGGTCCTTGTCTATATAAACTATTTGTAGCACCCTCTAGTGTGCTACTAGAACTATGTAGTGAATGATAAGTAAAATCATTGTGTGACTCGCGATTAAGGTCCGGTTATTGCAGGTCTGCTGGATGACTCTACAGGTTGTGGCTCTTTCACCTCCTCCTGGCTCTGGAGGATCATAGAACCTTCCAGAGGTTGGTAAGAAGAAGGGGTGGAGGCCTAATCTGCATATTCATGGGGGGTCCGGCCAATCCCAGGCTTGGAGGCCCTGGTAGAGTGGTGGACTGGCCTATAAGTATAGGAGAGTCAGGCTGACAGGGGAGTCGGGTGGAAGATGGAGTGCTGGGGAGACTGAGGAGTCTAGGAGGGGCCCCCTAGGTCTGGGGGGGCAGCCTCTAGGCTGGGCTCGGTCTGGCCCAGGAGGATACATTCTCTAGAGAGATGCAGATGGGATCAGGCCTGGAGCACCAGGGAACAAAGAGGACCGTGTGAGTACAGCACACTTTGGGATCTACAAGGGGAAAGATTGCCACACATAGCAAGCTTTCCAAGGACAGCATTGAGCTCAATCCTTTTATTCTTGATCCGGGAGATCTTCCGAGAAGCCAGGAGGGTTGGTAGTTTCTCTAGGCGCCAAGGAGCTGGGAGTAGCTCCAAAGGGGGAAGGAATCTCTGCATATATCTACAGAAAGCAAAGTGATTTTTGAAGAGCTGCTAGTCCATCGCCCATAAGGGGCAGCTGCTACTGATCCATAACGACCGACAGCTTTCAGGAAAAGGAAAGTTCAGGATCTGCTTTGTTCATAAGAAAGATGTGTCCCCCTTCCATTATTTCAAGTCGAATTGGGCATCCCATAATCCCAATTTCCCTGTCCAAGTTGAATTCCCCTAATAAACCAACAAAACCAAGTTCATGGACTGGTCACTGTCTCTGGATACAAGTCTGTGTGAAGAATACCAGTTGTCTGGCTGTGTGGAGGGAAGCTTAGAGATACCCACAACACAGTGACACTCAAGAGGGTAGCGCTACATATTACTATAAAATGATTAAATATTGTCTATGTATTGAGAGACTGACATATTTCTGTATAAGACATACCTGGAGAGGTATAGACATGATAATTTCAGCTATGATATAGGGATACATAGTTATATTTGTAGTATTATGTTTATTCTTCATCTGATTAGTCCATCTTGTACTCCAAGGCTTACCATGCCCGAGTTTGTCCATTACGCTGGCTTTATTATGCCCCATATAAGCTTTTATTAAATAAATATTTCTATAATTTTTTATTCGATTTGCGGAAATATTTTTCTTTTATCTGTGGGGACAAAATCAGCTTCTACTTTTCTTTATCCCTATCTCCGTGTCTATTAAAAAATGTTAAAGTTGACTTTGTTGGCTAACTTTATAGAGAAATGCTGAACATATGGTCAACTGAGCATTCAAAAACAAATTCTGAAGATAACAATAGACATAAGGCAGGGTTCAAGAAATCTGACTGTTGTACAATCGTTCAGCGATAATGATTCTGACTAGGAAAAGGCAAAACTGAATGGTTTCATTTCTCCCAAATTTTATGGGAATGCATTGGAGTCAATTAGGAAGGCAACATTAGGGTGGCTTGGTAATTTTGAAAGGTGCAATTGGCTCCTCAGGGTATATGAAAGCTTCTTTTACTGATTCTGGACCTGTTCCAGAGCCAAAAAGGGCCCTTTTGATACCCTCATTATATTACTGTTCTTTTTTTCACAGAAAGAGTGAATGGACAAAAGTTACATTTATAGCGACAGTACCAAATAGAGATCAAATACATAAAAAAACACACAATACCAGGAATGCTAAATCAAATAAACTAAATGATCTTAAAGGATAAGTTCACCTTTTGCAACATGTTACATTGTTACCATATTCAGGATGTAACATGTTACGAATGGACCCCCCCTCTTATTGATCGCTGGTGCAATGCTTTAGAGACTCTAGAAACAAAAAATAACAAATGCACTTTTTTTTACCTGCAAAAAAATGTGCATTTATAATTTTTTTAGAAGGTGAACTTATCCTTTAAATACACAAAAAAAACATCCTGTAAAAAAAGAAAAGAGTGGATTTTACATCGGCAGTTCAGTATGCAAAATTGTACCATTGGTGAAATCAGTATTTTTGCTAAAATCAACCCCCTAATACAATGGTCTCCAAACTGGAGGGGCCAAAACAGCCCTTTGCTTGCTTTAATTCCACCCTTGGGGCACTTTTTCACTCACTGATACCAACAATGGGGTATAAGCCCCCCTACTGACACCAATGAAGGGGCACAATTCCTTCCAATGACAACAGCAAATGGGGCCCACTGACACCAACGATGGGAAACAGTTCCTCCCAATAACACCAACAATGGGGTCCAATGATGCCAATGAAAAGGCACAATTTCTCTCAATGACACCAATGATGTGGAACAATTTCTCCAATCCTACCAACAATGGGTCCAATGACACCAATGATGGGGCACAATTCCTCCCACTTACACCAAAGAAGGTGCTAATTTTTTCCCATTGATGTTTTCTACTCCCATTGACCATAGTCTGGCCCCCATAAAGTCTAAAGGATGGTAAATTTGCCCTTTGTTTAGAAAGTTTGGAGACCCCTGCTCTAAAACTGATTGGTCTTAAAATGACACTAAACTCTAGTTTTTACAAAAATCCTGTCTATATGCCCAACTTGTACATTCTTCTGGATATATTATGCCTTATTTGAGCCTTTAGAATTTTTTAATACAATTTCCTCCAATTTCTAGTTAATATAATGACTGATATTATCATGTCTATATCTCTCCAGATATGTCTTAGATAGACATATAGAAATACCTCAATCTCTCTCAATATATAAAGACAATATTTAAGCTGTACATTCTTCTAGTCATATTACTCCTTATTTGTGCTTTCAGAATTATTGAATACAATTCTCTTAAATTTTTAACCAACAAATATATTGACTGATATTATCATATCTATAGTTCTCCAGATATTTATTTATTTATTTCAGGTACTTATATTGCGCCGTCAATTTACACAGCACTTTATATATATATTGTACATTCACATCAGTCCCTAACCCTCAAGGGGTGTACAATCTAAGGTCCCTAACTCACATTCATACATACACATACTAGGGCCAATTTGGACAGGAATCAATTCACCTTCAGATATGTCTTATAAAGACATATAGAAATATATCAAATATGTCAATCTCTCAACATATAGACAATATATATAATGCCCACGTTTGTACATTAGTCTATATTACGACCCATATGAGCTTTAGAATTATTTAATACAATTTTCTACAATTTTTAGTGCGTTTGTCGAAAATATTTTTCTTTGGGTCAAAATAAGCCTCTACTTTTCTTTATCACTTTATCACATTGTATTGGTCGAGGTTGTCCGAAGACCAATAATCATCACCGGGGCGGACTGACAACTCATGGGGCCCCCGGGCAATAGGGGATCATGAGACCCCTGTGTCCTTGCCCAAACTCAAAAAAGCCTATGAAAAAGGTACCAGGGGCATCTCATGGGGCCCCCTACTGACCCCGGGCCCTCGGGCAGTGCCCGAGTTTCCAAATGGTCAGTCCACCCCTGAATCATCACGTAAGTATATAGAGTTCTTGATGTTATAGTATGTTCATGCTTTATTAGAATTTTCTCCCCTATTAGTTGCCAACCAATGAAAATTTGTTTCTAGTATTTTTGAATATCTACAGAAATGCTTTATTCTGCATCTGGTACCACCAGTCTTTTTGGGTCAACATCTACAGATGTTCTTCATCAAAACTTAAAAAAAAAATAGCTAAAAAGTACAAGCCCTGCATTAGACGTTGTACCTCGTTGAAAGTAAACATCTCCCGAGCAGCAAACAAACAAGTGCCACCTACAAACTCATGCCATTGGTGGAGAGGGTCCAACTCGTTGGAGCTTACAATTATGACCAAGAGTGGGCAAACCCCCGGAGGCAGAGAGCCATGGTGCGCAACATTTGTGGCTATTTTTAAAGATCTTCAGCAAGGCTTCCTTTACCTGCTGGAACAGTTTGACCAAATCCCCCCCAAAAAGTCATTATTCTGTCAGCTCCTTATCTATTGACTATCGATGCCCTCACCTGTTAAGTAGATTTTATCCAGTGTCACTTTTCTAGCACGTATAAACCTCCCAACTTGCTCCAGGTCACCCTGTCGAATGTGATCCAAGAAGACAACTTCGTTTGGAAAACGCACTGACCGCGTCGACCTCAGGCTCCGCGACCGCCGGGTAGGGTACAACTTCATCTTGAGGATGCCGTGATCGGGGGTGGCGGAAGGTGAACTTAGCGCCAGCGCTGTCTGATAGATTGTCTCCACAAAAAGTAGAATCGGGTTTTGGGTACTGCTCCACCGACCGTGGCAAATCCTTAGGCCACTTTTGAAAAAAAGTTTGTTTTTAAGGGTCCGTCGCCCTGAGACACAGATCTGAAGGCTGATGACCAATTCCACAGGAGCAAAAGCGGCACACAAAACCCCCCTTTTTATAGCTCTGCCTTCCTATCTATTTAAGGGACACTCATCTCATCTCACTGTAAGGCAAACGACCGATGCAGACGCCCACTGCAGTTCATGGAAAAGCTCATCTTACCAGGTCAACTGATCGAGAGAGCAGCTGCTACTCAGAGCTTTGCAGGGTCACAAGCAAGAAACAAAAATTGGCTGCAAGTTTGGGGTGGGGAAAAAGCGCTCGCACGGCCATCCCTGACAAGCCCTGTCGACGTGATCAGACAGCTATCTGTCCACACACATAAGGAGGAAACTAGGACACCACTCGCTAAATGGGGGTCAACCACGCTAGGTCAGTCTGTCTAGCCATGTCCAAAATTATAGGCAACTGCAGAAAGGAAGGCTTTAATGCTACAGAAAATGGCTGCACTGATGCCAAGATAATAGCTCCCCCCATCCTTTCCCAAAGCTACATAGTTTAAATTGCAAGACAGATTAAGAAAATAATTATTATTATTGTTATACAGGATTTATATGGCGCTAAAAGGTTTGCTCAGCGCTGTACATTATAGTGGGGGACAGTACATGAGACAATACAGTAACAATACAATACACAAGGGGTTCGAGGGCCCTGCTCTTTCGAACTTACAATCTAGGAGGGAGGGGATAGTGGTACAGGAGGAAGTGGCTGTGGGGGATGGAGTGGTAGGAGGAGATCGGCTGTTCGGTGAGGGCGGGGTAGACTTCCCTGAAGAGATGGGTTTTCAGGGTGCGCCTAAAGGTGAGGAGGGTAGGCGACAGTCTGATGGATTGGGATAGTGAGTTCCAGAGGATGGGGGAAGTCCTGGAGAAGTCCTGCAGTCGGGCGTGAGAGGTGGAGACCAGGGAGCTAGAAAGTAGGAGGTCTTGTGAGGAGCGAAGATTACGGGTTGGGTGGTATTTGGGTGTCAGGTCGGTGAGGTAGTTTGGGGCAGTGTTATGAATGGCTTTGTATGTCAGTGTTAGTAGTTTGAATTTAATGCGTTGGGCAATCGGGAGCCAGTGAAGGGAATGACAGAGGGGGGTGGCAGATACGGAGCGGTTGGTAAGGTGGATGAGTCTGGCCGCTGAGTTCAGGATAGACTGAAGCGGGGATAGTCTGTGATGAGCTAAGCCGGTGAGGAGGGAGTTGCAGTAGTCGAGTCGTGAGATAATAAAGGAGTGAACAAGTAGTTTAGTAGTCTCTGGGGTTAGGAACAAACGTATTTTGGAGATGTTGCGGAGGTGGAGCCTGCATGAATTAAAAGACTTTAGCACATATGGCTTGAAAGGAGAAAGCAGCGTTGCCATACAAGAGGAAAACAGTTTAAAGGGAAGCTATCCCTCAGCAATCCTGCACAGCCAATATACATAGTAATAAAGTGGAGCTATCGGTGAAAAAAATAATAGCACACACGATACAGTCTGTCTCGAGCATTAATGGCAGTTTTTGTTTTTCCAAATCTCCCGTAACATAGTTATTACCAGATGATCCTGCAAGTAGATGCACTGCCTTTAAGAGGGTGACAATAGGGGCGGACCTCGGTTTACGAACGCCTCGGTTAACGTAATTTTCGGTTTATGAATGAAGGTCCAATGAAAATAATGCCTCGGTTTACTAATTTTTTTCACCATACAAATGGATTCATTGCTTTTCAATGCATTTACAAATTTTTTTTAATCATGTCCCTGTACAATATTTGTGCCTTTAAAGTGCACTTTATAAAGAGTTTTGAACAGATAAGACTTTTTTCTGACCTCCAGAACGGATTAATTGGTTTTTAATGCATTTACAAATTTTTTTTTTTAATCATGTCCCTAATGCCTTTAAAGTGCACTTTATAAAGAGTTTTGAACAGATAAGACTTTTTTTTACTTTTTATCTGACATCTGGAATGGATTAATTGGTTTTCAATGCATTTACGACTTTTTTTTTTTAATTATGTCCCTTTATACCTTTCAAGTGCACTTTATAAAGAGTTTTGAACAGATAAGACTTTTTTCTGACCTCCAGAACGGATTAATTGGTTTTCAATGCATTTACAATTTTTTTTTTTATCATGTCCTTGTACAGTATTTATGCCTTTAAAGTGCACTGTATAAAGAGTTTTGAACAGATAAAACTTTTTTTACTTTTTTCTGACCTCCAGAACAGATTAGTAAATTTACAGTGCATTTACAAATTAATTTTTAATCTTGTCCCTGTACAGTTATGCCTTTAAAGTGCATTTTATAAAGAGTTTTGAACAGATAAAACTTTTTTTGACTTTTTTCTGACCTCCGGAACGGATTAATTGGTTATTAATGCAGTTACAATTTTTTTTTAATTATGTCCCTTTATGCCTTTAAAGTACACATTATAAAAAGTTTTAAACAGATAAAACTTTTTTTGACTTTGTTCTGACCTCCGAAACGGATTAATTGGTTTTCAGTGCATTTACGAATTTGATTTTTAATCATGTCCCTGTACAGTATTTATGCCTTTAAAGTGCACTTTATAGAGAGTTTTGAGCAAATAAAATACTTTTTTTTTACTTTTTTCTGACCTCCGGAACGGATGAATTGGTTTTCAATGCATTCCTATGGGAAACTGCGTTTCGGTTTACGAATTTTTCACAATATGAAAAGTCCTGCAGAACGCATTAAATTCGTAAACTGAGGTATGCCTGCAATGTTCTGCATTGAAAGACACAGAAGTGTTTCCACACAGTGGACAGGGTGGTCTTGGACAGACATTTAGTTTTAAATGCACTAAAAAATCTTTTTTGTATTATGTTTGGCATCAGGCCTAGTAGTATGATACATAATATAGTATGATACATAATACATTTTTTGACCCTGTTGCAAATTTGATTACCTAGAGATTCTGTCATTAACAACACTTCCTGCTGCAGGCTGACAACGCTAAGCCACTTTTTGCAATTAGCAGCAGCGTTGTCAGCCTGCCATGAAAGCACCTTCATTTGGTTGTTGGGCTGCCCAGTGGTGTATTTAGGTTTTGTGCTGCCCCAGGCAACACCAAAATTGGCGCAGAGAGAGCCCGACATTGACCAAGAACACCCCTGCCCCCACCCGAGACAGCCTTCCACTACCATTGCCCCCCATACTCCACCCACCATCCCCCATGGAGAGAGAGAAAGACACTCACCTTCACAGCTCTGGACATCCCCAGGAATGAGAGTCGGGCTGTGGGTAAAATGTCATGAAACCCGCAGCCTCTTTTGGAACCCACCAGGTCCCCATGCCGTGTGTGTCCTTTCTTCCATCCCTTCTTCTGAGGGGCAATGCTGCCCCCCCTGAAAAATGCCGCCCTAGGCAAATGCCTTGTTTGCCTTATGGTAAATACACCCCGAGGCTGCCTATCTGATAAACAGTCCAAAAGTCCAGATGGAATGTACGACACCACTGATAAAAGGTTTATCATCCAGCGGCATGGCCAACCGCCACCAACCACCACAAGAAGAAGTCGCTCCATAGATATCTGGTTTAAGCACCTTTGGGATCTTTGCGTTTACCTGCTGGCCTTCCTTCCTCTCCTCCTGACCTAAACCAGATTGAGCATACATGGGAGTATGAGATTGTAAGTTACAATCGAAGACTATTTCCTCATTTGTTGGTCATTGCTTACTCCATCACTTTGTCTATCGAGTTTTCCCTGAAGAAGAGCAAGTCACGAAACGCGTCAGTTATGATACAATTTGTATAAGAAGTATTATTTTGCTTTTCTTTGGGGTGCTCCAAGAGCAATTGTCTGCTCTATGCAATGTGTATGGATTCATGGTAGTTTTGATTTTATCAAATATGTGGGGTATACTATTTTTGGGGCTGTGTTAATGGGTTTTATGTTTGGAATAGTAAAGCTTTGTTAAACTTTTTAAATGTTTGTTGTTTGACATGGTGCCCTTAAAATCCCTGCCACCTGTAGCAATCATGCCCACAGAGATGGGCGTGGTTCAACCATTTTGTCTCCAATATCCATCATGGCAAAGGATCCTCCATCTTGTACAAACATATTCCCCGCATTCTCCCCATTCCTCTCTGTTCATACACAGGGACATATGGCCTGTGTGTTAGAAGTGTCACAGGCCGGCCAGGGCACAGCAGGGAGCCCCGAGCTATAAACCATTTTTGAGCTGGGTGCCGGGTGGGCTGGGAAGCTGAGTAATCTGGCACTTCGTAAAAAGATAACCCAAGCCTTCCCCTGAGTTCAAACACATTCCAGAGGAGTAGAGACTAGGTAACACTTTTAAAATCCATTTATGTCTCATATCTTTGAATGTGAGAGACTTACATAAAAACCAGGTATATCTTCAAATTGGCCACGAGAAGACATACAGTTTGATAGGTCACACTCCCTGACTGTAATACCTAGGAAAGCAGAAAATTACATCTCTGGAACCCTTCAAATATGTATTTCATATTTCAAATCTACCCATTCCTCAGATGCGTCTGCATAGTAATCTACCCGTGGGTGGAATGTCACTTGTGCATAGGGAAAGTTATGAGCAAAATATGAACTACAAGAGATTTTAGGTACCCGCCCAGACGATCCCTCCCTAAACAGGGCATTGGTCCTTGACGTCAGAGACACCCCCTGCTAGGGGACTACAAAATGGGCTGTCAGGCCTAAGAGAGCTAAGTTGAAGAATTCTCCCTTTTAAAATCAGAACCAACCTGGGAGACATGCCCTTTCGCTCTGAAACTTGATCTGCAAACCCAAGGCTGCTTGGCAAGTCCTTTAACCCTTTAATCTCCTTTCTGTTACCTCTTTGCTGTGCTGT